GAATAGGCGACAACTTATGAGTGTTAAAATGTTCCACCATTTTACTTATTGATGAAAACATCATTGGACAACCTGACTGATCGCATTTGATGGTACTCGTATTAACACTTGATTGTGTCCGAACTTGGTTAACTCGAAGTCTTGTAATTAAAGGTGGTGATGGTGTCGGGACATAGGGTGTCATTGACGAGTTACTTATATCATCAAGACTTATTGTGTCGGGATCTCTAGTTGGTTTACATAAGTTATGGTGTTTTTCCCATTCGGTTAATGAGCCAAAAGATTGTATACAAAACAGACAATCAAAGTTAGTCTTTCCGTGTTGACGTCTTTCGTGTTCGTTTAAAGTAATGATAGAATCGAATTTTGCAAAACAATTCAAACAAGGATATCGGGGTTGATGACGAAGATAAACGTGAATGCTCAAGTCTTCTTCAGTTAAAAACTGTTCGTCGCAACCTTCCTTTTGACAGCTTATTAATTGTAAATCCATCGGTGAGTATTCTGGGGATCGATGACCGTTATTCGTTGTGAGAGATAAGGTTTCACGCGATGTGTCACTATCTTCCAGTGTTATTGTCTCGGGGTTTATCCGAACTGATTTACAAATTATGTTATGTGAATCCAAATCTTTTTTTGTACTGAATTTTTCATTACAATAGATGCAATCAAACAAATTCAACCCATGATGAGTTTCCTTGTGGTCGCGCAAGGTTTTGGGTGATCTGAAGTCTTTGTTGCAATCACAACACCTATATGAGGTTGGAAATTTTCGAAATTTAATTTTATGATTAAGTTGACGATGTAGAACAAGATCTCCCTTCTCAATGAAAAATTCGGGGCATAGGTCACACTTCCTTGCCGACTTGAGTTTTCGGTTGTGCATAGCTTTCTTGTGATTGTATAAATCGTAGCCACTTGAGAATTTCCTTTCACATAATAAACAATAAAATGTTTTTGCTTGTTTGTCAAGTTTGGGTGTTTTCATTATATTTTCTGTCAAACGTTTAGTCCGTTCAACTAAAGGATCAGATGGTAATTTGGGCCTGCCGTTGTTGAGCTGACGAATACAGTCAGCCGAGTAAGTGTCGAGATGTCTAAACGATGCGTTTTGCCAGCAAAATCTTTGATCACATGAGCCTGTAATGCAATGATACTTAGGATCTCTGTTGTGTTTGTAAACTAAATGGTGATCGAGTTTTTCTTGATTTATAAATGTCTCATCACATTTATGACACGTGCCATGTTCTAGTTTTCCGTGTTGATTTAGTTCTTTTATAGTATGAAATACTTTGCTGCAGTTTTCGTCATTGCACGCAAAAGAAGTTTGTATTAATTTTGGCCAATTATTGTCGCCACTATACTTAGTAGTCGTAAAGGTTTGAAGCAAAGTGTTACCGTGGGTATTATTAGACTGGTGACAGACAATTGGGACTTTGTTTTTATAGAATGGACTATTTATTCTCTTCTTGTCCGGTAACTTCATAACATTTAGCTCATCATTGCAGTGCCTACTTTCAACTTGATGATTATGTAGTTTTGTGTAATCATAGAATTCTTCGCTGCAGTTGTTACAAATTATTGGTGGTTCAAACCCGTGATGTAGCATTTCTCCAATGAATTTGTGTGCTTGGAAAGCGCTAAAATCATGTTTGTAGACCAAATGTTTGTAATATAAACCCGGTTCAATAAATTTCCCTCTACATCTCACGCATTCGATGGCTTCTAGACAACGTCGGTCGTTAGGCGTAAATATATAGGTTATCACGTTTGTCTTTTCTGATTTGTCACGTATTAGTTCTTCAACTCTAGACAATGAATCCCTACTGTAGCTACTATCGTCATATAGGCCCGACATTGTATACTGTTGAATATTAAAATCATGTTAGTTGGTGTATATGTAAATGTTAATATATAAAATAATTAAAGCATAAAATGTTAGGTATATCATCGGGTGACCGGCATTGTTTTTACCGAAAACACCTAAGTATACCTTAGTGTTAAGCATATTACAGATACTACATACACACACTATAGAATACACAATACTACACACAAATTGCACCTAACATTTATAAGTTGTGAAGCGGACGCCCAGCAGTGCCGTCACACGGGTCGCCTACTCACAGCATTTTTAAATGTCAAGTGCTTTAACAATGGACTCGGCGTATGTAGGAGTCATTAACTCTAATTGTTTTCTGGTTGAATTATTCATAACCTTAATAACCGGTATGTTTTCCGGTAGATTTTCTAACCATTGGTTATAATAATGATTAAGCTCAAGGAGGTAAGGGACACGTATGTAACCACTCTCCTCGGCCCGCGCTCGACAATATATATTGGTTGTGAGTTTATCTATTGGGGTCTCAATATAAACTACTAGATCGTATTTCAAGGCGTCCGCATATTGAGATAACTGTTCATTAACTATAGCATCAAACACCTCGCTCTCATAATTAGACATGAGATGTTGATCAACAAGTGTGGGTTTAAAGACGCGAATCGCGGAGAAATACGATCTTTCCATAACCTTAATGTCACTACCATCACGTGGCAACGCTCGGTGATGGTCAATCATTGTAAGTGCAACATAACTTTCGAATAAAAAGGCTCTCTTATTAGGTTTTCTATAGTAGGCTTTTAATAAGTTAAGGCCGTTTAGGTCTCTCCACTTATCTATAGGTTCATTATGTATAGAAAGTCTGTTTGCTATTTGAGATTGACTCAAATAATGACTAAAGGTTGTCTTTCCTGACCCTATATTCCCTTCCAATAATATAGTTTTATACATTATAATACTTATAAAATTATAGCCCAATATCAACGACGGTATACCACTAGGCCTTATAAATTACTAGAATTAAAATAATAAAATAATTGAAGTGAACCGGTTAGATAACTTAATCGATAAGATAATAAATTAAATCATGGAATGGTTTGTTTCGATTGAACAAATTATACACAAGTGTTCTTAGCTTAGTGTTTAACAAGTAAATCAAAAGTGAACTACTACGGCCGATTGTAATTCACAATTACATATACTTATTTATAAATTATTAAATTAAATCGTTACATAAATTTAAAGAAAATAAAAACATAAAATAAAAGGATAGGTTTTTTGTTTCGGATACACCTCGACTGCCAGGGCTACTCACCCGGCCCAGGGCACAACTGCCCGGGTTAGTCAAGGGAAGCAAATAATAAAACATAAAAGCAAAATACATTTAAGTCAAATAAATAATAAGTTTCAAATTATAAATTAATTAAAACCAATAATTAAAATGTGGGGCTTTTGGGAATTTATCATCCCCTACTTCTGAAAATAGTATCTATGTAACGGTCTAGTATTGGCACCTGTTCATTAGGTGTCACAACCCATGTATACTACTTAGATAAAATTATTTATCAGTATATATCCCAGTGTATACTACTTAGGTAAAATTATTTATCAATGATAGCCCAGTGTATACTACTTAGATAAAATTATTTATCAGTATATAGCCCAGTGTATACTACTTAGATAAAATTATTATCATTGACAGCCCAGTGTATACTACTTAGATAGAATTATTTATCAGCATATATCCCAGTGTATACTACTTAGGTAAAATTATTTATCAATGATAGCCCAGTGTATACTACTTATTGAATGGTCAACTCACTTTTACCGACGGTAATTACTGGTCGACTCTCTATTGACCCGATATCTGGTCTATCAACCGATCGAATAGTTCCCGAGGTTTGTTGTTGGACTGGTTCAGCGGTAGTTATGATGTCCTCAAATGTCGCTATCTCTTGAGGTGTAATCACTTCTTCAGTAGTAATAGATTTTCGTTTCGGTTTTATTATCTTTTTCTTACTAATTATGTCGACTGTGGTTCCGGTTGGGATCAATTCGGTGACAGTTATCGTATCTTCACTTGTTATCTCTTGTATTGATATATGACTTCACAATTAATTCCCCTGGGACTGGTTCGGTGACAGTTATCGTATCTTCACTCGTTGTTATCTCTTGTGTTGATATATGACTTCACAATCAATTCTCTGGAACTGGTTCGGTGATAGCTATCGTATCTTCACTCGTTGTTATCTCTTGTGTTGATATATGACTTAACAATCAATTTTCTGGAACTGGTTCGGTGATAGCTATCGTATCTTCACTTGTTATCCCTTTTTATGGGATCACTCTCTCAGTCTCAATGAATTTTCACTTAACATTAAATAAAACTAATAATAAAAACACATATTTTGTTTTCAAAACATTTATTCTGATTGAAACAATTTTTCTGATCTTTACTGATACACTGTTAGTACTCGACTCGCTCCGGGACCTCACAGCACAACAGTTTTTGTTGGTCAGTACGTTTGGGTGGGGTTTTGACTACTAAAACACATACCGATACCATTTTAGGAATGGTATGTTATGTTTTAATCAGTGCTGTGTGCATAACAATTTTGCTAAAATTATAATCTTAAAATAGTTTATTTATTTTAAAACAAACTGCTATTTTAATATTAATAATAATAATAATAATAATAATAATAATTAAAATCACAATTTAAACTAATAACTATTAATTTTTAGAAACTTATAAATTAGTTTAAAAAAACAATAATAAATTAGATTAAAGATTGTTATATATAAAAAAAATTGTTAAATATTATATTGTTATTGTTTTAGTATTAATAATAATATTTTTTTTGTAATTAATAATTAAATACTAGAACTATTAGATATATACTTAATTATACATTATAAATACTAATATTAAAAATTATATACAGTATTTGATTATTAGTTTAGAATTAGTTAAAAATAAAAAAAAAATAATTTTCTATAACAAAATATCAACCTTTACCAAGCTAAATAATTAAAAGTTTTCAATATAAATAATATTTATTAAACAAATTGCATTTAATTAAACAGTTTGTTAATAAAAAAATAAAATTAATATAAAATAATCATTTTTTGTAAAGTATTAATATAGTATAGTATTTACCACATCAGGCATAGCACCGACCGCTGCCTTAAGTAATAGTAGATCGTATCTGTTGTACAACTCCTGTCCCACAATACGCCTAACCAGTTGTTGTGTGGCCTCAGCGGTACAGTCGGTCGCCGGACAGGCAAGCGATTCAATACGATTGTCATCGATGGCAACGGTCATCGTATTACGTACACAGTCTTCACAGTACCGATGCTCACACCCGTAGCTAACGGCACTGTCAACTGGGAAATCATCGGCACATATATCGCACTCAAATTTGGTTAAATCATTGACACTATAACTATTATTATCGTCACTATCATCGCTATTATCGATAACTATATATTTTTAAAAAAAAAATTAAGTTTTATAATAATTTACAATAATATAATAGTATTTTTTTTATATATAAATAATAAATAATAATAATAATAATAAACAATTAAATTTACTATTAGTTTGTATTGTGTAATCATCACCATGCTTATTTAATTCTATAGCTAATTGTAATTCATCTAGTTTAACAATAATAATAATAATAATAATAAAAAGTTAGTAGTAGTTAAAATAAATAAACTTGTTAAAAAAATAGTCTAAAAAATTATAAACTATAAACTTACCATGATTATATTTTTCAATTACATTTGATTGTTCACTTAAAGTAATTGCTTCACCAATTAGTTTTAGTTCATCTATTTTATTGATAAAACATAAAAATAAAAATTAAATTAAAAAATATTTTATTTTTAATGAAAAAAAACTAAACTACTAAAAAAAATATTGAAACCAGCATTACCATCATGGTTATTTAAATGTTGACGACTAAGTGCCATTGCCAAATGAAATTGTTGGTCATCCTTGTTCATCAATACTATCTCCTGGGGATCAGGTGGTGGCGGTTTAATTAATTTGGTTACGGTTTGCTTTAGTTTAGCTAATCTAGTTTGCGGTTTACTATAGATTCATTATAATAAATACAGTATAAGTAAAATATTTTTAAAAAAAATAATAATAATTTTTTATATTTATAGTTAAAAATACAACTATTTTTTTATACATTATTACCCATTGTTTTGCATTTGTTTTCTATGATGTTTCCATAATATCATCTCTCGTTGGACGTCCTGTTTGATCAGTTTTTTGGTAGTTTCGTCGTCCAACTCGTACTCAGAATATTCATTAACTTTTTGGCCAATTATTGTACGTATATGTTGTCTGAGAGCATCGTTATCTGTATCGGCGGCGCCCACACCTCCAGAAGCCATGTTTTTTTAAATATATATATATATATTATATTGTTGTTATTATTGTATAACTAAACAAAAATAATATTACAAAAAGTAATTATAAATATTTAAAAAAATATATATATATATAATTACATTATATTAGTTTAATACACATTATTTGTTAAATTTAAAAAAACATATTTTTTTAATTTAGTACTGTATTACACAATTTTGTTTGCATCAATATTAATTGATATGATATTTCAGTTAAAATAAATAAAAATAAATATTGAAATTTTATTTTTTCCCCGTCTAATGATTACTGATATATGATATACTGTACAACAATATCTGTATTTATCATACAATATACAGTATAACTCAAATAAAAATTTACTCTATATGTATGTTTAGATATGTCATAATAAATAGTTACATAATTTTTTTTGTATAGTACAGTAGGGCTTAAATATTTATATACAATTATTATTATTATTATTATTATTAGTTACACTATTTTTAATATATATATATTAATATATATCATAGAAGATATGATAACAAAAAATATATCAATGTTAGCTTCAAAAAAATAGACATAAATATATATATATATATATATATATATATATAAACAAACAAAAAAATGATAACAATTTTAATAACACATATAACTATATGTTATTATTTTTTAAAAAAAATAATACTAATATAAAACTTTTTTTTATAATGACTAACAAACTAATAACTAAATTTGAAAAAAATAAAACTTAATGTTTGAATACTAATATAAACTTCAAGTTATATTATTTAGTCAATTATTACACTATTTTTTATATTTAACATTTAATTTTATTTGCATATTATTATTGATAAATATAATGTTTTAGTTAAATATATTTACATTTATATGAATAACATTGTTGTCATTAGTTTTATTAGAGACAATTAATAATCAAAAATAAAACTTTCAAATAAAACAAAATTATAACAAAAAAGTAATTTTATGATAATTTATATTTTTGATAAAAAAATAATGTTCAATAATCTAAATTTATGTTGATTTAACAAATTTATTTAATCAACAATATTTTTTTATTAAATCAAAACAATTATTAGATATTTTGTAAAATCTTTATAAAAAAAATCTTAAATATCTTAAATTAGTTTAGTTTTTAAAAGTTTTAAAAGTATGATTAAACATTTAAGCCATATTTAGTTGAATAGTTTAATACACAATTTAATGTTATCATATTATTTGTTAAATTTAAAAAAAACATATTTTATTTATTTATAAGTTTTTATTTGCATCAATATTAGTTGATATTTAATATTACAGTAAAATAAATAAAAATAAATTTTATTATTTAAATTTTTTTTCTCCCTCTAATGATTACTAATATATTACTAATATATTATCATATAATATGATATACAGTATACATAAAATAAAAGTTTAATGTACAATATATGTAGGATATGTCATGATTATTAGTTAAATAATTTTTTTTTATAGTACAGTAGGGCTTAAATATTTATATACAATTATTATTATTAGTATTATTATTTAAAAAAATATATACCATAAAAGATATGATAACAAAAATATATATCAATGTTAGCTTCAAAGTAGACATAAATATATATATATATAAACAAAAAAATTTGATGACAATTTAATAATAATACTATAATATAATTAATATTACTTATAATACTTATAGTGCAATATGTAAAAAGTTTTTTAATACACAACATTACTAATATATTATAATAAATTTGTACAGTTTATACAGTATAATATAATTTTTGTTTTTAACTATTTAACTGTTAAGTGTTTTTTTCAAGTGTAAAAAAATTTAAATATTTTTTAAAGTGTTCAAAAAAATTTAAGTGTAATAATTTGTTAGTAAAAAATATTTTAATTTTAGTTTCTAAATATAATACTAATAATAATTACTATATGTATTTGAATTTATTATTATTATGTAATATGCATTTATTGAAAAATAAAAATTAATAAATATCGTAATTACATAATCATATATTACAGACTTATATATAAATTTATTGAATAATTTTTTTAAAATAAATATTTATGATTAACATTTAAGCAATACTTATTAAATAGTAATTTACATAATTACATAAATCTAAATTATTTTTTAATGTTAATAGTATCTAATATTTTTTTTAAAATGTTACAATATTTATCTGGATTACAATAATTTTATTATCATTATTATTATAATTAGTAATATTTTTATCATCATTACTATTATAAACACAATACTATCATTTAGAGTAGTATTATTGTTGCTGTTGTTATTAAATGCCAACATAAAAATTGTCTATAAATATAATTAGTAATTATTAATATAATAAAAAAAATAATAATAATTTCTAAATAATTAATTATTTAATTAATTAGAAATGATATCTACTTTGTAGGCTTTCCTCCATCTCATCCAATTTGCTTAACCTAATTGCCTATAGAAAATCTGGATCAATCATCATCATCACCATTACCATCATCATTACCTACATAAGCTACTGTTGTTGATTCAATATTATTATGATATTCAATAGGATTATTGCCGCAAACAGGTGCTGTTTTTGAGATAACTGTCCCCCATATTAGTAGCACTAGTAGTAATAATACTAATAAATGGTTGTATAACCATTGCCATTGATCGCTTAGGTATGAAACCACCATCACCACTGTCTAATATTTTTTTGTTGTTGGTGTTGTTGAGTAGGTTTGTGCTAAATTAATTGCTTAATAATAATATTTAAAAAAAATAAATAAATAATTATAAAACTTATTATAATAATATCAATTGCCAATTGATAACTACTGTTAGTTGTGTTGTTGTTGTTTGTTTTGTTTAGCTAACTGGTAGATACTGTACTTTATGGCAATATAACCTAGGTCAATTGATAATCATTTACAAACTTAATAAATAGCTTAAAATTTTATATTATTTTATATTACACAAAATATGTTTATATCAATCTTAAATATAGTAATAATATTTCCATATTATTTATGAAAATAAAACATTAATAAACATTTAAAAAAAAGTTATCTACATTAATATTTTTTGATAAACTAATTATTTATGATATTACACATAAAACTTTATCATATAGGTAAAAAACAATTTTATTTATAGTATAAAATTTTTAATCTTTTTTTTAAAAAAATAATTAATTATAATGCAATATAAATTATTATCAATTATTTATATTATACAAAATACAGTATAGTGTCAACATTGTATCCTAGAGTATAATTAGAGTAAAATTTTAGAAAATTAGAAAAATAAAAATAAAATCTTTTTTTATATTTACAATAAATGTCTGATAGTATATAATATATAAGTTTAAACTTTTTTTTTTTGAAATTTATAATTTATAATTATTGCCGGGGTTATTATTAAGCATCAGTATTAGTAGTATCATTATCATTATTATTATTATTATTATTATAATCATTTTTAATCATTAACATATCGATAGTTAGTTTATCCTGTTTTGATTGTTTCAATAGCTTCTCATATCTATCGGTTAGTTCAGCCATCAATTTAGTCCAAACACGCTTATCATTTGCATGACGTGTCTCTAATTTATTCAATTGTTTCAATAGTTTATTATTTTCCTGAAGTGTTTTCATAAATTTTTTATAATCAATATCAATACTATTGTTATTAATATTTTCTACGGCACTAATTTGTCTGGGTAATTTGTCTAATTTATTATTATTATCATTATCATCAACTAGGTTAGTTGATAAATTAATTTTGGGTAGTTTATTGCTAATATTTGTATTACTATTGTCAACAATATTATCATTTAATGTGGTATTGCTGTTAAGGTCAACATTGATGTCTATAAATATAAGTATTAATAATTAATATAATTAATTAATTAATTTAAAAATAATATCTAACTTTGTAGGCGTTCCTCTTCATCCAATTTGCTTAATCTAATTGCCTCTAGAAAATCTGGATCATCATCATCATCACCATTACCATCATCATCACCTACATAAGCTACTGCTGCTGATTCAATATTATTATGATATTCAATAGGATTATTGCCGCCACCAATACTTGTCGATGGTTGTTGTTGTTGCTGAGATAACTGTCCCATTTTAGTAGCAATAGCTGTAGTAATAATACTAATATATGGTTGTTGTAATACCTGTGCTAATAGTCGCTTAGGTTTGGCACCACCACTACCACCACCACCAACACTATCTAATATGTTTGAATAGGTTTGTGATAAAAATAATTGTTTAATAATAATATTTTTAAAAATTATAAAACTTATAATACATATACCAATTAAACTACTGTTAGTGTTGTTGTTGTTTTGTTTAGCAAACTGATAGCTACTTTCGGCAATAACTTCGGCCAATTGACAATCATTTACAAATTGAATATTATCATTATCATAATTAGTAGCTTAAAAACATTTTTAAAAAAAAATAAATAAATAAATTTTTAATAAATATAATATTAATTAAAATTAGATACTTGTTGTCATTGTTGTTGAACAGTTAGATTCAGTGTCAGGTTCTCTTAAGATTGTTTAGTAAATTATAAAAAAAAATAATTAAAATTATAAACATATAATTATATATATATAAATATTTTTTATATAATTTTATTTACATTATTATTTTGTCAATTTCGGCATCAATTAGTTGATCTATAATATAGTTATTGGACTCTATTGAAAAAAATTTCAAACAACAAAAAATTAATTATATAATTATCTACAAAATTAATAAGCAATTAATTTTAGACATATTTTTTAAAAAAAATATTTACTTTTCATAGGTCTAGTCAACAATTTTCTAGAATTTCAACAACAACAAAAATTAATAATAATAATATTTAAAACTAAATGTAAAATTTAATTTTCAAAAAAAATAAAATAATTAATTAATAATTAGTACCCAGTGTTTGGTTTTCTATGTTGTTTCCATAATATCATCTCTCGTTGGACGTCCTGTTTGATTAGGTTTTTATTAGTTTCGTCGTCTAACTCTAACTGAGAATATTCATCAACTTTTTGGGCAATTATCGCACGTATATGTTGTCTGAGAGCATCGGTATCTGAATCGACAACAACCACACCTCCAGAAGCCATGTTTTATATTATTATTATTATTATTGTTGTTGTAGTTTTTATTTTGATTGAAAATCTATATACTAAATAACTAGAAACATAATAATAATAATTATTATTATTTTATAAAATTAAATAATTTTTAATAATATTACCGTAATTATAATATAGTATGAAGTAATTAAAGTTATATAACTTTTCTCAAACATTTAATACACAATTTAATGTAATATAATAAAAAATAATATGTTAAATTTTTAAAACATTTTTTTAAAAATGATTTTTTTTATTGCTACAGTATTACATCAATTAGTATTTTTGCATCAATACTAATTGATATAATATCTCAATATAAATAAACATTGAAATTTATTTTATTTATTTTTTTCGTCTAATGATTACTGATATCATATTATTTTATTATCTATATATATATATATATATATATATATATATATATATATTTAATAAAATTAAACTGTTATAAGTGTAGTCGGATTTATCATATTTATTAAGTTTTTATTTTATTTTATTTTTTGAAGTACATGTTTATTATGATTATACAACATTGAATATTATGGTTATCATTGAAAATATTTATAAAAAATAATACTGTTAGCTTCAAAGTACACATATACAAAACAATTGATAACATATAATACAGTATTTATTTATTACTTTGAATAATAACAAAAAAAAATTATATAATTACTAATTAACTTAAAAAAAATATTTCAATAATATGATATTAGGTTTTATATATATATATATAAAAAGAGTTATAATACAACTAAAATAGATTAGATAATATACTATTAAAATAGTATTAATTAAAAATATTTTTTTAACATATTTATTTTGAATAATAAGAAATTTTTTATTTATTATAACTATTAGCAAACTTATGTTATAGATAAACAAAAATAAATGTTTCACAAATGTTAAACATTTTAATAAATAAATAAATAAAATTGATAATTTATAATTAATAGTATTTTTATGTATTTTAACTAAATTGTAAAACATTTTGTATAAGATAACTAAAAAAATATAATTATGTTTAATGTTTAATATAATTATGAATAGCAAGGTGTTGTTATCAGTTTTGATAAATTTTTAATAAAAATTAAAACTTTTAATATTAGTTATAATTTTTTGTTGTTGAAAATATTTATAAAAGTATTATCAAATAGTATTTGATAAAACTTTCATAAATATTTTCAACAACAAAAAATTATTTGACAAATACCATTGAAATATATATACTTTATATATAAATATAAAAAAAATCTAAAATAATAATTTCAAACAATCATAAAGTCTTTGATTTGTTGTTTTTATTGCAAGTTTTTTTTTAAAAAAAAGAAATACTAATTAATAAAATTTAAAAAAACAACAACAAATAATTTAAAGTTTATTGATTTGTCCGGAAAACAAAATCAAGCCATTAGTTGTATCCATAATATAGTAGAGGAACGGGTGGTCGACACGGAATTCAATGGGTGGATCGTCTGGCGGAGCGTTTTGATATTCCAATGAAAAACTTGAAACGGCCAGTGCTTCGGTCCCCTCTTCGTCAACCGATATATAAGTTTGGTGTCTGATTTGGGTAAAGGTTTGATCGCCACCACCTAATTGGGACAGTCGTGATAAATCGGCTCCAGTAGTCAATGCAATTGGTTTTGGATTTAAATCAGTAGTCAAATCGTACTCTTTTTTTGATATAAATTTCGGTAATAATAACTCTATATTTGTGTTAATCATTGATTTAAATGCTTTATCAAAGTTTGTGGCATTTATTTTAGACTTCAATGACGACAAACCGTTTCTATCATTTGGTAATACAATAACAAATGATATTTCGTTTCCCTTATACGGCAATTGAATGAGCCGTGCGTTTAGGTCATTGAAGCTCAGGTAACGGTAATAATTTGTAGCCGACATTAAGTCTACCGTCACTTTACTACAATCGGCGCCATTATTATAAAATGTAGATTTTTGTGTATTATGTCTATCAAAATCTTTATCCCAATTACCTAATTATTTATAATAATAATTACTAATAATTGACTTTAAAAGTATATATATTTTTTATATAAACTGCTAAAAACTATTATACCTTTAAAATATACGACATTTAATATTATAAGAGATGTCTGTTCATTGATTTTGTCAAATATTTTTTCTATTTTATTATTTGTCTGTTTGCGGATCCATTGATTAATTTTGTCAGTTTCTTCAACTGAATTATGTTTGAAGTCAGCCCTATCTACCTGTGCTCTAAAGGCCAGTTGTATTGCATCGACAAACTCTTGTTTAAGTACTTTACTATCATTTCGTACGACAAGATTTGCAATATCTAACTGATGTTTCACTTCTCTATCTCTTTCTTCTTGTGTTTCATTCAAATATTTTTTATAATCAATGCCTAAATAATAGACAATTAAATATTAGATTATTATTATATTAATTTTTTCATAAATATATATATATATATATATAAATAATATTTATATTTACTATACTTTTATTTTCATACAATCTATTAATAGTTTGAAATCCATTATTAATAGTTTGATCACTAATTGATTCATTTGTCTCATTGTTTTGATATCCAAGAAATATCTTCAAATTGTCGAGTGTTTTGCCGTTTGCGCCGTTCATTAGTATACCTAATATATATAAAAAAATATTAATATTTAAAATAATTAATTATTTTTTTAATAACAATATATAGATTATTAGATAACATAACAGACTTAATGCCGATATTATTGAAAACGAAGAGATAATGTCATTGTCGTCATCTTTGGCTAACATATTGTATATTCTGAATGAAAATTCATTGTTTGACTGAATCACCAAATTTTCGGTTAAATTATTCAACTGTTTGGTTGAATTACTGGCCATTAAACCGGTTAACAGTATCGACAATAATATTACTAAAACTATCATTTTATTGATAACAATAAGTCTACTAATTTAATGCTTTAATTTAATAATAAAATAACTTATTTATTATTATTTTTTAAATAATAATGATTTGATATGTTATTAAATGGTGACCATTTTCTAACTTTATTTAATCACTAATTATTATAAATATTTTAAAAAAATAACAAATATGTTGTAATAAAAATTATATAATATTCATATTTTTATAAGCATTTTAAAAAAAATAATTAAAAATATAAATTTAATATGTAATAACTTGTTTTTCAGAAATAAAAATTTAGATTATTATTATTATATGATTCATAAACATATTTTATATATAAATAATAAATTATTAAAATATAAAATAAAATTAAAATGAAAATGAGTGAAAATTAATTAATTAATATTTGAGAAACCAGTTATTTAAGTTATAATTTATTAATTTGATCGAAAATAAATTAAAAATTTTAAATCAATCACTGTATAAAACATTAATATTTAAATTATAACAATATTATTATATTTTATATTTCATAGTTTACTGTATATCAAAGTACTAAACAAATGTTCAAAATAATTAATTAAAATTATTATCAAAAATTTAAAAATTATGAAATATAAACATTTTTAAAAAATAATATTACAATTAATTATTAATTGACAATTTATTAATGATTTCAAATCTGTATTTTATACTCAAGTGTATTAAATTTAACAACAAAAACAAAATTGAAATAAAGTGTATAAATAGATGAGATTTTTTTGCTGATTTAAATTAACATTATATATATATATATATTTTGCACTAAAGTGGGGTTTAATTACAAAATATATACTCTCTCTCAAAACAAATTTTATCCAACCATTACCACTGGTCTATCGTTTTAATCATAATTAATGAACAATGAACTGAATTTATAATAAAAATAAATATATTTAAAACATAAATTTAAAACATTATTTTATAAAACAAAATAAACATTATTTTATAAAACAAAATAAACATTATTTTATAAAACAAAACAAATCGTAATATTAGCATAAATTTTTTGTTTAAATAAACATCATACTAGCCATATATATATACTGTATATATCAATATATATAAAATAATAATTTCAAACAAAACAAAGTTTATTTATTTGTTGTTTTATATAATAAAAATTTCATTAAAATAGTAGTTAAATTAATTAATTTAAAGTTTATTGATTTATCCGGAAAATAAAATCAAGCCATTAGTAGTATTCATAGTATAGTAGAGGAATATATTTTATATAAATTACTGAAAACTATTATACCTTTAAAATATATAGCATTTAATAATATAAGAGATATCTGTTCATTGATTTTGTTAAATATTTTTTCTATTGTTTGTCTGTTTTGCGGATCCATTGATTAATTTTATCAGTTTCTTCAACTGAATTATGTTTGAAGTCAGCCCTATCTACCTGTGCTCTAATAGCCAGTTATTTTGTGTCCACAAATTTTTGTGCTTAACTATCAAATATGAAAAACAACAAATTATATAATATTCATTTATGTATAATCATTAAAAAAATTATTTAAAAATATTAATTTAATTATTTGATAAAATTATGTAATAACTTGTTTTTCAGAAATATTAATTTATTATTAAATTATGATTCATAAACATATTTTTGTAAAAATTTTAGATTATTAAAATTAAAAAAACAAAACTAAGTGAAAGTTAATATATTTTCAAATAATAGGAAGTATATTTGACATATTTATTAATTCATATAATAAAGTACTAAACAAATGTTTATAGCTATTAATTAAAAATATTACTTCAAATAATAAAATTATTATTTTTAAATATGGAATATTAAAAATTTCTTACAAAAATAAAATATACAATTAATTATTTAATGACAATTAATTAATTCAAACAGGTATATTTTATTATACTTAAATATGTTAAATATAATAAAAAGCAGAATCTAATTAAATGGTATAAATAGATGAGATTTTTATTATTTAAAATAATTATATATATTAAATAAGAACTATAAACTTATTATATATATATAATATAGTAATTTAGATTTTAAAGATTTATTTTTAAAAATTTAATAGATTATTAAATAAAATGTATCATTATAATTTAATTATTTTATTGTTATCATTATCAGTTATACTTACTCGTTCGTTGTCGGAAAAATGTGGACAAAATAATAAAATAATTGTCTCTAAACGCGATGTTGCAGAAACCTCTGATATTACACGAATATTAGGTGGACAGCAATCCAATCGTGTGGATTGGCCGTGGATGACAAATTTACTGTATAAGGAGCCTAATGGTAAAAAGTATAGACATTATTGTGGCGGAAGTCTAATAAGTAATAAGTGGGTTTTAACGGCCGCACACTGTGTTGTTATAGCTAATACTACAATTGATGAAGTAACTGAAAATATGAAATTAGAATTTGGTCAAGAAAGTACAAGCAATCGCAAGTGGAAAAAAGTGGTTAGAAAAATAGCTAAGGTATATTTGTTTATATATAATCTATTATTTAATATTATCTTAAATTAAATTTCAAATAACCTTAATTATTTTATCCACATATCAGATAATTCATCATAGTCGTTTTAACGAAACACCAGCAATACATGACATAGCTTTAATAGAGTTATCTAAACCGTTAGATTTAATTAAAGATGAAGATTTTTTGCAGCCAATTTGTTTGCCAAAATCAAATAGGATAACAAACAAAACTACGTGTATAGCGATCGGTTGGGGTGTAACAAAGCCGAAGGGTCTCCGAATCTCCGAAACTTTACGAGAGGTGCGACTTCCGATAATTGCAGATAACGATTGTCAATCTCATTATTTTAAAGATTTTAATAAAGACCTTCAATTGTGTGCCGGCTATTCAAACGACAACAGTCGTACGACCGGTGAAGGTGACAGTGGCGGACCACTTAACTGTCAAATACCGATAATGAATAATTGGGTTATTGAAGGTATCACTTCAGTTAAAGGTAACGATACAAAATATGGTCCCCTTCCGACTAAGTTTACAAAAGTTTCCGGTTATTTAAAATGGATTCATAATATAACCAAAATTCCTATTTAGTCAGTCAATATTGATTTCAACTGTTGATTAATAATCCAGAAAATATTACTATAATAAATCAGTCAAATTATGTATATCTAAATTTATAAAAAAATTGCCTTAATGTTTAATTATTTCTAAATTTTTCAATATTCTAAATAAAAAAAATTGCATTTAATCTATGATATAAATTATTATTTAAATTATAATTATATAAATGTCAAAAATGTGACCTACGTGAGTCAATTGTGAGTCAACAGTACGGTCAACGACATATCCAAACTGATCATATGTGTTATTAGAGGACTGGGAGGTCAGGTATCGATGAAAGTTGTGGCCACATATTTTGCCGAACATTTAGTACAGATTTGGATGAAATTTCAGTTTAAAAAACAGCTAATACTCTACGATCCAACTGTCCATCGACTGGATCCGGAAGCTCAGATGAATAAGGAGTCGTCGGCACTCAACGATACACTGGTATGCGTTCATATCAATGGTGACAGCAATTGTTTGTGGTTTTCGGTTAGCACTTCTATGTACGGCTCCGATGAATACGTGGAATCCCTACGGCTGTTGACGGCATCGACACTTATGGATTATCGGTCAAGTTTTGAACAGTCGTATCGGACTGAATTGGATATACCCTATGATGAACTAATATATAAAGCAGTCACACTTGATGAGTGTGCTCACGAACTTCACATACAAGCCCTGTCGCTAGCATTGCAACGGCCTATCTATTTGTATAGTGTTTCGTTTGGATCGCTAGTTGGACGTACCTATGATCGGACCTATGATCAGCTCCGGGAGTCCTATGAGTCGAAGTTTATTTACGATCATATGAGATTTTTGGCCGACGGTAATCGTGAGGATGAGATACCGGTGCTGTTGTATTATAACGGTTCGGATCGTTACAGTCCAGTACTGCCTAAGCGTTTGGGTGTGCGGCCATTGAGGCCGTACACAGAAATGATGAAACCCATATTCAACAGGAAAGGTATGTTTTAATGCAATTAATTTTTTAGATAAAAATAATATTAATTAATTTTTTTTCTCTATATATTTAATTGCTAATTACAGTTAAGTAGATAAGTGTCAACAGTTTACCGGATGTCGGCACCAGTTTTGTACCGTTTGTTTGGCCCAGTATTTCGATAGTCAAATAATTGTTGGTACAGTATATCATATCAAATGTTCTGACGACCAGTGCACCGGTAGTGGTTGTGGTGAGGCATCCTATGAATTGGTATGCAAACTGTTGAGCCGTAAATCGCTGGTCAGATATCATAAACTATTGCTGAAAAAAACTGTGGATGTTATGGACGATATGGTAATTACCATAAATTATAATAATATTAAATTTATCATGCTCATTTATATTTTGTATAATATAATTTTACTTAATATAATAGGCCTATTGTACCAAATGTAACGACTCGGTTGAGATTGTTAACAGTAGACACTATGGATATTGTCTGGATTGCGATTACGCGTTTTCCACGAGTTGTAATCGCAAATATCATGGCCAACAGCGCACGTGCACTGAGGCAATGGAAGATTAGATCAAACGCGCGGCCAAAAATCCCGAATCAGTTGACTATATTCGCACGCATTTCAAACAGTGTCCCAAATATCAGATATGGTGTGAGGTATGAGTTGTTGTTAACTATTTTTTTTGTAAATATTTATATAACTGTATAATAAAAAATATATTAAAATTATTATACAGTAATTGATTTATATATACAGTATTTATTTTTTTTAAATTTATTATAATTTAATTTATGTTTACTAGAAAATTGATGGTTGCAATCATATGCAATGTAAAATGTGCATGGTACATTTTTGTTGGCTATGTTTGGATGATATTACCGACAATAAGGAAATACAAATTGGACACTGGTCAGCTAAATGTAAACTATTTGATTATGATAATGTTGTTTGATAATAATTCTACTAGATTTTAATTATATTAATAAATAAATATTACTATTATTAAAAATAATAATTATTAATTTTTTTACTAGCAAAAATATCAATATTATATTATATTAATTATTTGATAAATAATTGAAAAAATCAATTACATACGATTCGCATTTCATAATTATCTAACATTTTATAATAAGATATTATATTATAAATAATTATGATATTTTAAATATTAATATACAATATAAAAATCTATAGTTTAAAATAAATTAGTAGCAATAAATAGTAAATTATTTAAAATTTATTTTATAAAATAATTAAATTTATGTATTCAATTAATTTTTATAACAACATATTTGTTTTTTTATATTTTAATAATTATTGGTAATTTTCACCATTTAATAATATATTAATTTATTAGTGCTTGAAAATAGTTATAATATAATTAAGTTAATGTATCATTAAATTAAAGCATAATTAGTAATCTTATTGTTACAAATAAAATGATAGTTTTAGTAATATTATTGTCGATACTGTTAACCGGTTTAATGGCCAGTAATTCAACCAAACAGTTGAATACTTTATCCGAAAATTTGGTGATTCAGTCAAACAATGAATTTTCATTCAAAATATACAATATGTTAGCCAAAGATGACGACAACGACATTATCTCTTCGTTTTCAATAATATCGGCATTAAGTCTGTTATGTTTACTAATACTCTATATATTGTTATTAAAAAAAATAATTAATTATTTTAAATATTAATATTTTTTTTTGATATATATTAGGTATACTAATGAACGGCGCAAACGGCAAAACACTCGACAATTTGAAGATATTTCTTGGATTTAAAAACAATGAGACAAATGAATCAATTAGTGATCAAAATATTAATAATGGATTTCAAACTATTAATAGATTGTATGAAAATAAAAGTATAGTAAATATACATATTATATATATATATATATATTTACTGTAAAATTAATATAATAATAAACTAATATTTAATTGTCTATTATTTAGGCATTGAATATAAAAACTATTTGAATGAAACACTAGAAGAAAGAGATAGAGAAGTGAAACATCAGTTAGATATTGCAAATCTTGTCGTACGAAATGATAGTAAAGTACTTAAACAAGAGTTTGTGGACGCAATACAACTGGCCTTTAGAGCACAGGTAGATAGGGCTGACTTCAAACATAATTCAATTGAAGAAACTGACAAAATTAATCAATGGATCCGCAAACAGACAAATAATAGAAAAAATATTTAACAAAATCAATGAACAGACATCTCTTATAATATTAAATGTCGTATATTTTAAAGGTATAATAGTTTTTAGCAGTTTATATAAATATATATATATTATTTTAAGTCAATTATTAGTAATTATTGTTATAAACAATTAGGTAATTGGGATAAAGATTTTGATAGACATAATACACAAAAATCTACATTTTATAATAATGGCGCCGATTGTAGTAAAGTGATGGTAGACTTAATGTCGGCTACAAATTATTACCGTTACCTGAGCTCCAATGACCTAAACTCACGGCTCATTCAATTGCCGTATAAGGGAAACGAAATATCATTTGTTATTGTATTACCAAATGATAGAAACGGTTTGTCGTCATTGAAGACTAAAATAAATGCCACAAACTTTGATAAAGCATTTAAATCAATGGTTAACACAAATATAGAGTTATTATTACCGAAATTTATATCAAAAAAAAAGAGTACGATTTGACTAATGATTTAAATCCAAAACCAATTGCATTGACTACTGGAGCCGATTTATCACGACTGTCCCAATTAGGTGGTGGCGATCAAACCTTTACCCAAATCAGACACCAAACTTATATATCGGTTGACGAAGAGGGGACCGAAGCACTGGCCGTTTCAAGTTTTTCATTGGAATATCAAAACGCTCCGCCGGACGATCCACCCATTGAATTCCGTGTCGACCACCCGTTCCTCTACTATATTATGGATACAACTAATGGCTTGATTTTGTTTTCCGGACAAATCAATAAACTTTAAATTATTTGATGTTTTATAAATTATTTTATTTAATTACTATTTTAAAGAAACTTTAATAAATAAAATAACAACAAAGTAGACTTTGTTTTGTTTGAAATTATCATTTTTTTTGTTTTTTAAATATATATTGTCATAATAATGTCTATTATTTTTTTTTTAAAAAATTTGCATAAAACTACAAATAAAAGACTTTATATTTGTTTTATATACTATATATATATATATATATATATACAGTTACAGTTATGAAAGCGACTGTACTATATATTTATAATAATGACTAGTGTATTGATTAATAATTTTTTATACTCTATTAAATAGTTGTTATAATAGTTGCTAAAAAAAGTGAAATAGTTGTTAAAATAGTTATTTAAACTGTATTAAATAGTTGAATATAGTTGCCAAAAAAGCCAAATAGTTATTGAAATAGTTATTTATTTTCTTATAAATATTTGCAACTTATATATAATTCACTTGTTTTCAGCATATTTACAAAAATGATTTATATAAATAAACTAATTATTTCTATTGTTAAAAATGTAATATGAGTTGATAACAGTTTACATATTTTATATAATTTATATAACTATTACTTTTTGTTTTTACATATAATTGTGCAATATTTTACAATTTAATGCTTATATTTTTCAAAATCAATGAAATAATTATTTAAGTTTTTATAGTTTCTAATCCAACAAATAGTTATTTATAGTTATAATAAAATTTCGGAAATAGCGTCCACTGGTCAACTTCGGTGGACATACTAAGTTCCAGTTATAAGCGTTGAACCGACAAAATAATTTTTTTAGTTGGAAATCAAGACACTAATAATGACTATTATGTTTATATAAAAAAAATTATGCTAATATTTTAAAAAAATTATGCGATTTGTTTTGTTTTATAAAATAATGTTTAATTTATTTTGTAAATATTTTTTTGTTATAAATTCTGTTCATTGATCATCAATTATGCTTAAAACGATAGACTAGTGGTATAATTAAATTTATATTTTTAATTAATTTTATAAAAATGCTTATAAATATATGAATATTATATAATTTTTATTACAACATATTTGTTGTTTTTTCATATATTAATAATTAGTAATTGAATAAAGTTAGAAAATGGTCACCATTTAATAATATATTAATTTATTATTACTTGAAAATTAAGTTATTTTATCATTAAATTAAAGCATAATTAGTAGACTTATTGTCAATAAAATGATAGTTTTAGTAATATTATTGTCGATACTGTTAACCGGTTTAATGGCCAGTAATTCAACCAAACAGTTGAATAATTTATCCGAAGAGATATAATTATTATTTTTTTGTAATTTATTAATTAAATATTGACTATTAGTTAAAATAATATTATGTGGTTTTTTAAAATTTCATAAAATTATTAAATGAATTGCTTTTAATAGAGTTTGTTTCAAAATATACATATATATATATAATTATAAAATAGTAAACATTAATTTTGTTGTAAATAAAGTATTTACCACATCATCCATAGCACCGACAGTTATCTTAAGCAATAGTAGACCAGCCAACAGTTCACTCCTATACATCTGTACCATTTCCTCCCGTTCCCCTGTTTCCAGTTGACAGTCATAGCCACTATGATATGGTTTCAAACAACTGGTACAAAATGCTAGTCAACATCGGGTACAGTTACCAATGGCCAGGTCGATTTCGGTCATTACCATTGCACCGCAATCAGTGTTGGGACAGTAATGATATTGATATTTATATTAAATATAAAGTTATAATTAAATAGTCAAATAATAATTATTTGATGATTAATTTAATATATTGATTGATAAAAATAATTGTCAAAAAAATCAATATGATTTCAATAGTTTTAAAAAAAATAATTAATATTATTTATGAAACTATGATTTAATTACATAATAGACATTTATTTGGAATTTTGTCTAAATTATTTAAATTAATATACAATATATTTAATTAATAAAATATTATAATTTAATAAATATTAGTTTTTTAGTTGTTTGTCATTGTTTAACATTAAGAAAGAAAGAGAGAGAGAGAGAGAGAGAGAGAGAGAAAGGGAGAGTGAGATGGTATGCATACCTCAATGGGTGTCTTACACTGAGGACAGGGACGGCTCACTTGACGGACAAGTTGTTCGGACTCCAGTTCCTCCGTGTCTTCCCTCCTGAAACTCGCGTTGTTGACGTTCTCGTTCAGCTGCCTGTGCGGTAATAATCGCCTGTTCCCTGAGCTCAGCCTCTTTCCTTAATTTTTTGGCATCGGCTCTACGTTTCTCTTCATCAACCCTTTCCTCATCGGCTATCCTCTGCTCTTCGATTATCACTTTCTGTTCTCTGATAGCCTTCTGTTCTTCTTTGATCCGATCCATCCATTAGTTGTCCTCCCGTTCCGCATTGGGCACAGTAACCGATGGCTAAGCCGATTTCGGTCACTACCATTGCACCATTGCATACCAACTCGACAGTAATGCTATTGATATTTACATTGATATGTTATAATCAATTAATAATCATTTGATGATTAATTTAATGATTTGATTGATAAAAATAAATGTTAAAAATCAATATTGTTAGAGGTTTTTAAAAAAATCATGTTACCGGTAAATGTTTATTTAAAATCTAATTTATTTTTCAAAAATTTTAGTATTTACTGGTAGTTATAATATTTTTATGAAAATACTGTACTGTTTAAAACAATTATTGAATTAATTATCAGATTTATATAGTAAGAGAGATATAATTAATATTTTTTTTGTAATTTATTAATATAAGTTAAAACAAAATATTATGTGGTTTTTTTTAAATTTCATAAAAATTATTAAATGAATTGCTTTTAATAGTTTAATTAGTTTCAAAAATATATATATAATTATAAAATAGTAAACATTTTGTTGTTGTTGTTATAAATAAAGTTTTTTTACCACATCATCCATAGCACCGACAGCTATCTTAAACAATAGTAGATCGTATCGGTCGTACAATTCCGGGCTCACAATATGTCTAACCAATTGTTGTCCGCTTCGGCTATGGCTCTGCTGAGCGCCTCTTCCTCTGCGTAACATTTCCTCAGCTAACTATACCATTTCCTCCCGTTCCTCGGTTTCCAGTTGACAGTCATAGCCACTATGATATGGTTTCAAACAACTGGTACAAAATGCCAGTCCACATCGGGTACAGTTACCAATGGCCAGATCCATTTCGGTCACTACCATTGAACCGCACTCAGTGTTGGGACAGTTATGCTATTTTTTTAGATTAATTATTAGAAAATATGATTTGATTAATATTAGATAATAAGTAACATTTTTTTAATAATTTTAGATTAAAAAATAAAATAATATAAACAAAATCACAATTAAAACTAGTAATAATTTATATAATTTATTGAAACTTGTAAATCAGTTGCATATTGATATTTATTGATTAATACATAATTTAAATAATAATAATCATTATTATTATGTGTTAATTTATTTTGAATTTTCATTGATATAAATAATAGTAAACAAAAAATCAGTTATACAATTATTTTTAAATTATGGATTAAATTATGAATATCAATATCAACTAAATAATTATATATATATATAATATCGATATTGACTACTAGTCTATGAAATATAGTAAATTAGTTTACAAAACTTAATAAAATTAATCTGATTTAATTTTGACACTTTTATACAACAAAAAAAAGATTTTTTTAAATAAAGTAAAAAATAATAATATTAATAAAAAACATTATTATTTGTATACAGTATTTACCACATCATCGATAGCATCGACTGTTGCCGACCTAAGCAACAGTTGGTTGTATCGGTCGTACGATTCCGGGTCTACTATACGGCTAACCAGCTGTTGTGTGTGTGGCCTCAGAGCGGCCTACAGTCGGCTGCCGGACAGTCAACCGATTCAATACGGATATATATATATATTTATAACAACTATATGAAACTATTGCATGCATAACACAAAAACAAACATATATTAACTATAGATTATGTATAATATATATATATATATATATATACAAAACGATTAATGTGTATAAAGCATGCAAAGCACTATAAGTCACGCCTCTATAGCACATAACCACATAAAAACATTGCGCACATTAGAGAATAAAGTCTTACATTGTGTGACATTAAAAAAAACCTATAACTACACATGTAATTTCAGTACTTTATGTATTTTATGATACAATGCGATCTAATACCTAAATATCATAGTAAATAAAAGTACCAAAATTGTTAATAACATGTATTTGTTGTCGTTCGCATAAATTTTGTAATAATGGTAATAACGCTTTTAAAAACTTATTAAAGAAAATACAATTAAATTTATAATAAAATCCTATGTATAACAATGTATTTTAATTGATATTTTTAAATACATGCGCTTAATGTTTTAAGTGTTTAAAGCTATGTAGGCGGGGCTTAAAGTGTTACACAGTTATTGTTAAATATTATGTTAGTTATTGTTATAAGTTTATAGATATATATATATATATAGAAAATAGTATGTATGTAATCTATGGTAAATATATATGCCTAGCGTTATGAATGTAGATATATAAAGTTTGTTGATATGTTAGACTAGAAATATAAATCGGATCAACTTTTTCTGAACCAAACCTAAATAATAATTATTAAAAGACATGATTACAAATCAATACGTATTTAAATAAATAACAATTAAAATGTTCAGTTTAATTGAAGTTTTAAAAACATAATTTTTGTATTATACATGTAAATACAACTTGTATTATATAAAAAATAAACAAAACCGAACCGAAACCGTTAAACAATACTTTTACAGTTTTCAGCTCTACTTATAATAAAACTTTATATAAACAATGATATCCTTAACTATTAAAATATTAGACATACATTAGAGTTAATAAATTTAACATAATTTTAAAAAATGTTTGACAAAAATTAATTAATAATTTATATAACAATATATCATTAATAATAGTATTAATAATCATAAAAATTTATTACATATATAAATGAACAAATAATAACATTTATAATTTTATAATTATTTATTCATAACATTAAGTAATATTAAACAAAATTTTCTATTAGTATTAGTTTTTTTAATAATAAATACAGATTTAGTAAAAAGTAGTTTTAGATTTTATTAAATTGTTAATAATATCTAATCACGAAATTTTCACAATACATACTATTATTACTTAAAAGCAAAGCTAATAAAAATACTAATAAATATATAAAAAGCTTTTATAAAAAACAAACAATATATATATGAATAAAAATATTATTAATACATTGAAAAATATATACTGTATATTATATAATAATAACAATATTAACAATTAGTTTTTTTATTAATATACTTTTTTTGTAAATATGATATTGAAATAAATATATAATAGTTTGTTAATATATAAAATAGTTTAGATATATATATATATTGATAACAGTGTAAGTATTGACTTAGTTAATGTCGGTTGTGCCACATCTATACTACTATATAATTTGTTCAATGTTTGTGCCATTTTCTGTCACGCAAACAATTACTTTTAATGTGTCGCGCGATTAAATAAAAAAATTAAATAAAATATACTTTTTATAATACACTGTATATTATATTATATATAGCGCGTGAAAGCATTGTTTAGTAAAGAGATAGATTGAGAGAGAGAGAGAGAGAGAGAGAGAGAGAGAGAGAGAGAGAGAGAGAGAGAGAGAGAGAGAGAGACACGTGTTAACTATTGATACACATTTTATTACATGGATCTAACTAGTATTTATATAATACAATAATAATAATACAAATAATACAATACTATACTATAATAATAATAAGAAATACAATATTAATAAGTTTTATGTATATTTTTTGAATAAACTATTCAAAAAATACCAGTTGAGAATGCTAGAAAGCATTTCCATACGAAATCCTAATCCGAATTAAAAATTAAATTAGAAACTAATGCTTTAGTATGACAAAATAAACACACTATAGTCAAGTGGGGTATCAAATGACTCTGTATGACTAAATAAATTCAACTATAGACATGTGGGGTATCAAATGATTCAGTATGAAAAAAATTAAATTCAACCATAGTCATGTGGGATATCAAATGATTCAGTATATGAAAATAAATTCAACTAGTCATGTAGGGTATCAAATGATTCAGTATGACAAAATAAATTCAACCATAGTCATGTGGGGTATCAAATGATTCAATATGACAAAATATATTCAACCATAATCATATGGGGTATCAAATGACAGTGACTAAATAAGCATTTAATTTTTAATACTTTTGCCGCCATTTTTCATAAAATTAATCCTGATTTAGTATACCTTATTTTTGATGCTCTATACAATTCTTAACTTTAAAATTTTTATCTAAATTTTTTTACTTTGACCGCCATTTTTTTCTATGTTCCCGAAGAGATATTAAAATTTTAATGCTACTTTCTTATGCTTGATTTTGATGCTTTATTCAAATCTATACTTTAAAATTTTTACCTAAAATTTTTTTGACTTTTGCCGCCATTTTCTCTATGTTCCCGAAGAGATATCAAAATTTTAATGTTGATCCCCTATACCTTATTTTTGATGCTTAATCCAAATCTGAAATCAAAATTTAAAAATTCAATCAAATGCGGACGGAAGGAAGGAAGGACATATAGAATTCAGATACGTACTCCTTTCAGGAGTTCGTGAAAATAGAAATATTATATTGTTTGTCTGTCTGTATATATATACAGTATATATGATATACTGGTATATCATAAAAACAACTATACATTTATGTGTTATAATTTAACTAAAACTAATGATATATCTGATAATTAATTCAATAATTGTTTTAAACTGTACAGTATTTTCATAAAAATATTATAACTACCACTTAATACTTTTTTTGAAAAATAAATTGCAATACTGTATAATTGCAATTTATTTAATTAAATTATAGTTTCATAAATAATATGAATTAGATTTTAGGTAATCATTTTAGTAGATTTTTTTTTTAAAAATCTATAGAAATCATATTGATTTTTTGACAATTATTTTTATCAATCAAATCATTAAATTAATCATCAAATGATATTATATTTGATTATTTAATTATAACTTTATATTTAATATAAATATCAATAGCATAACTGTCCCAACACTGAGTGCGGTTCAATGGTATTGACCGAAATTGATCTGGCCATTGGTAACTGTGCCCGATGTGGACTAGCATTTTGTACCAGTTGTTCGAAACCATATCATGGCGGCTATGACTGTCAATTGGAAACCGAGGAACGGGAGGAAATGGTACGGATGTATAGGAGTGAACTGTTGGCCGAGGAAATGTATTCAGAGGAAGAGGCGCTCAGCAGAGCCATAGCCGAAGCGGAACGGGAGGACAAAGAATGAATGGATCGGATCAAAGAAGAACAGAAGTCTATCAGAGAACAGGAAGCGATGATCGAAGAGCAGAGGAAAGCCGATGAGGAAAGGGCTGCTGAAGAGAAACGTAGAGCCGATGCCGAGAAATTAAGAAAAGAGGCTGAGCTCAGGGAACAGGAGATTATTGCCGCACAGGCAGCTGAACGAGAGCGACAACAACGGGAACGTCTAGAGGCCCGACAGCGTGAGGAACGGGACTCCGAACAGACTGTCCGCCAAGTGAGCCGTCCCTGTCCTAAATGTAGAGCATATATAATAAAGGTATGCATACCATCTCTTTCTCTCTCTCTCTCTCTCTCTCTCTCTCTCTCTTATATTTATTACTTTTGTTTACTGATATATCATATTTGGTGATTACATAATATCTGTATGTGTATACTTAGAAAAATGGTGGGTGCAATCATATTAGGTGCCAAAAGTGTGGCTATGAATTTTGTATCAATTGTCTAAGTAATCGACATTATAGTTGCTGAAATTATTTATACCCATATATCATATATAAATATTCAATGTATATATATATATATATATATGTATGCGTTTTTATATATAATCATTAATTGATATATATTTGTATAATTTTATGTTTTTACTATATTTTTTATAATTATAATATGCCAATATTATTTTAAACAGTATAATACATAATATAAAACTACATAAATGTATTATTTATACTAGAAAACTATCAACAACAAAAAATGATTTAATAAAATTGTTTTAAACAACAGGTCATAGTGTACTTGAATGTCAATTTATTTTTAATTTAGTATTTAATTTATATTTTTATTTATTTTTTAAAATTTAAATTTTATTGTCTACAGAAAAATGATGGCTGCAATCATATGAAATGCATTCAATGTAAATATGAATTTTGCTGGATATGTATGGGCTATTGGCAGGAATCCCATCATCTATGTCCTAGATAATTATATGATTTTATCTAAATATAATTTCAAAAAATATATAATTTTTGTTTTAATTATCCAAATGAGTTAATATATTTTTTTTAATTTATTTAATTATATATATATATATATTTAAAAATTATTATCATGTTTGTATAAATAAATAAAAACTACTATAATAATCAACAATATTTCATAATTATTATCAAACAATATTATTTTAATCAATTTTATTTTAATAGCTGACCAGTGTCCAATTTGAATATCATCATTATTTGTAATATCATTGATAAATCATAGCAAACAACAAAAATGTACAATGAATATTTTACAATGCATATGATTTTTAGCCATCAATTTTTTTTAAATAAAAATAAATAAAATCATAATAAATATATTTAAAAATATACTGTATATTAATATATACTGTATATACATATTAATCAATAACAATATAATTTATATAATATTTTTATATAATCTGTTTAACTAATTTATAGTAGTGTTTAAAATATTATTATATTATTAATTATCAATTTAATATCATCAAATTATAATTTATGTATAATTATCATATTTTGTTTAACCCAATAATAACAACAATATATTAAACATGGCTTCTGGATCTTTCAGGTTATTAGTATTGATTCAAAAAGTAATTATTATAGTAAAATTTACAGTAAGTTTTTTCTTACTTTTATGGTTGAAAACACTTATCAATCATTAAACTAGTGATAATGTGAACGATAGGCCATCGTTTCGCTGATACCACTGATCAGCGTTGGTCACCACATTCACATTATCACTAGTTTAGTGATTGATAAGTGTTTTCAACCATAAAAGTAAGAAAAAAATTACTGTAAATTTTATTAAAATTGTGAAAACAACTAAAAAGTTATGAGTGAATTATTATAGTTTTTTTTATAATACTAATACAATATATCACTGAAATTAAATAATAACTTTCAGCTGCTATGATTTTATGAAATTAAAAGATACATAATATTAACCATAAAATTAAGGAAACGTTTAATATTCTTTAAATAATTAAGTTTTAGTTTATTTTAGTTATAAATAGCAATATAATATAACTTTTTAAAGTTAATATTTTTTTAAAATATATAATATTGTATATCATATTATAAACAAAAATTTACTTTATATATGAAAAACAACAATTTCATCGAAATTATAGCTAAAATCATGTTTTTTTTGTTTTTTTATTATTATTTAGCTAATCATATGTCCAGTTATAGTGTATTACATCAAAATAGCCGACTAATTGGTGTTGTAATATGAGGAATGGGTAGATTATGGTACGGTACCCGTGGATCCTGTTTGGTACAGGTATCTTCATAGTAATTCAATACCAATAGGTTATCATCAATATCGTATGGACAGTCAAAAAAGGCAATATTTATTGTTATATTATCATTAACTTTGTTTTTATAGCACTCATAAAATTTATGACAATCATATGGATTACGAAAATAGCCTAATTTGTTGCCGCAATAGATATACTGAGACCAGTCTATGTAGATATCAGTAGTACTGATGGGAACTGGTGTCGAACTACTGGTAGTCTCTGTCGTCGATAAGGTTTGTTGTGTAGGACTTGTCTGTGTGACAGTTGTGGTGGACGAGTGGTCGTCGTCATCATCATCTGGTATTGGTTGGTCATGACAGGGCTCAGTCATGGACTCGGGTACACAAGTTTCATTATTTTCATCAAAACCCGTTTGGCCTTCACTACCCATTCCACATAATGATATATGAACAGCACTGGCATGTTTTGTATGATTACCAACCTTTATCTCTCTCTCTCTCTCTCTCTCTCTATCTCTCTATCTCTCTATCTCTCTATCTCTCTATCTCTCTATCTCTCTATCTCTCTATCTCTCTATCTCTCTCTCTCTATCTCTCTATCTCTCTATCTCTCTATCTCTCTATCTCTCTATCTCTCTATCTCTCTATCTCTCTATCTCTCTATCTCTCTATCTCTCTATCTCTCTATCTCTCTATCTCTCTATCTCTCTATCTCTCTATCTCTCTATCTCTCTCTCTATCTCTCTATCTCTCTATCTCTCTATCTCTCTATCTCTCTATCTCTCTATCTCTCTATCTCTCTATCTCTCTATCTCTCTATCTCTCTATCTCTCTATCTCTCTATCTCTCTATCTCTCTATCTCTCTATCTCTCTATCTCTCTATCTCTCTATCTCTCTATCTCTCTATCTCTGTCTTACATTAATTACAATTGAAATGTTATATTACTTTTTAAAAAAACAATATTATTACTTAACACAGGAAATAATAAAATGTAATTTAATACCGAAAAAAACTATAAATTTTAATAATTTCGAAATAATTGCGTCAAATAACAGATGTTTCGTATGTTTTTTTTAAATATATATATAATTTTAAAAAAAATCTTTATTAATATTTAATTTAATTAATTTATTAATATTTATTTCATGAACATTACGTGCAATACATATGTATAGAAATTTTTTAGGTTATATAAGTCGACAGTGTGTTTATAATAATTTAGTCAATCAGAAAACACATAAAAAAAACTTTAAGAATCTAAAACTTTGAAAATCAACATAAAAACAATGAATCGTTTTGTTGTATTAATTATTGGAGTAGTCGTTAGCGTTGTTGCTTTACGTAAGTATAATACTATTAATATTCAGTATATTATTTATTATATATATATAAATATATCATATAATATATATATTGTATATTATTTAAATGTTCAATTGTTATTTAGTTTATCTAATAAATATTTATTTTATTTTTTATATTATATTTTAAAAATATAATATCAAACACAGTTGAAGGAGATATTGGAAAGGGTAGAGGAAAAAAATAACAATACAAACTTGGATTACCATGGTACAATACATATATAAATTAACTTAAATAAATTAAATTTTCTAAATTATAATTGTTTTTTAATTATTTAAATATTTAATCATGTACCATGTATTAGTGATAATAATGATTTGTTTTTTTATTTAATTAATTAAATTTGTAACAATTAATTATTATTAAATTAATGAATTATTTAAATAAATAAAATTTAATGAAAAAAATATGTAACGTTTATTAACCTATTATTATTATTACTTTAAACTTACGGTTTAATTAAAAATAAAAACATTAAATACTACAAAAAAGTAGTAGTAGTAGTTTTTATATTTTAATTAATTAGTTAATAATTTTTATTATTATTACCAGTATCTAAAATTAGCTAAAAATAATGAAACTGATTGATTATAAATAAATGCTTTACACTTTTTATGCCTAAATAATTTAGTTTTTCAAAACTCAGAATTTATCAAATAATTTTTTTTAATTAATATTTTTTAAAAAAACTTATTTTACACATTTTAATATTTATTACCACATCATCCATAGCACCGACCGCTGACTGTTGTCTGGTTTAGTCGTATCGATGGACATACATATAAATCTTTCGACTAAAAATATTACAATAATTATCGGCTTTTGTAACCATTTTTCTTGTTGGTGTTGTTGTTGGACACCAATCGGTGTCTTGAGAGTAATCGGTCCGAACTTAAGCCGATTCGATACCGAAATGAACAGTTGACGACAAAAAAAAACACTTTATATGACATATAATACTATATATTGAATATTATGTAAACTAAATAATAATTCAAAATAATTTTCATCAATCAATTGTATTTATTCTTAATTTAGTTTTTTTTGTTAATGAAAAAATATGAATGTTAATTAATATTTATTTTATTGTTAATACTCTATTAATATTATTACTTTTATTTTACTATTTTTTACTTTTATGAGTACTAGATTATTAAAAAAAATATATTAGTGCAACTTAACTAAAATAAAATAATTATAATCATAATCTATTAAATCTATTAAATTAATGAATTATTATAATAATTATAATTATTAATAATAGTCGTACTATTGCTTGATTCGTAGGCCATCAATACTAACGATAACATTATTATATAATGAATTAGTTTAAAAAAGTAATGCCAATTAAGCTTTTGATTGTTAAACGATTTAATTGATATGTCGTCGGACATCAACTTTAACCGTTCAATCAATTGCAAAGAACTAGTCTCCAATTGATTGCCAGAAGCCGACTCTTCAGCCAAAAGTTTAGTCTCCAGATCGGCCACTCGGGTGTCATAATTGTTGGACACCATTGTTGAAAACAGGCATAGATGAACAATGGTGAAACCACCTTGCACAATCATAATGGATTCCAATACTATAAAATTGCCCGCTTTCAATACAATCAGACAAATAGCACCGGTACACTCCATTGTTGAACATACCAGTGCTGTTAGTATGCATGAGTTGAGATGCTTATTAAATATACGCATATTGACCCTTAGCCGATTGCAATATAATACAATATAGTTTAGCCGATTGTTTACCGATGGGTTATCGTACAGTTGGAAAACTATATCGATTTTTTTAGAAACTTTAAGACAAATATAACCGGTTATTGTCATAGCTTTGTAACGTGTATTAGTTAGTGGTATAAATAGAAACATCAACATAAAACTGTGCCAAAAATTTATATTATATATAATATAAAGCATAATAACTATTAATAATTCAAATAATACTGCAAATAATATATTGATAACAATAACACGTTTAGCATAAGTAATATCGTCGGCACTTGTTATGCATAGTGTGTCAAATGATTGGACCATTAGTTCAATATCAGTTGCTTTTGCCAATAATATTATTGATGTCAACAATGTTTGTATGAATTCCATTAAGTAACAAATACAATAGAAATATCTTAATACATATGTTTTAAATATTGCACTTTCATTAATAAAATTATAAGTGTTATAAAACATCATACTTATTATAAAAACAATAAATAAAATGTTCAAAATTAATAATAATGAATTTTTTTTAATACAATTATTTAGTACTGTATTATTGTTGAATCTATTGGTATCATAATAAAAATTTCCCGTAAACTTGATGAAATTTTTTATGTACAAATAACCGGGATGTCTAAAATTAGACATTGTTTTTGTTATTAATTGTTTTTAAAAATTATTATTATTAAACAATATTAGTGTATTATTATCATTAGTTTTAGTTATATTATAACACATAAATGTATAGTTGTTTATGATATACCAGTATATCATATATATATACAAACACACAAACAATATAATATTTCTATTTTATTTTTTGAAAAGTTTATTCAAAAAATATACACAAAACTTATTAATTTTGTATTTCTTATTATTATTATAGTATAGTATTGTATTATTTGTATTATTATTATTGTATTATATAAATATGTGGCACAACCGACACTAACTAAGTCAATACTTACACTGTTATCAATATATATATGTTTGTATATATATATATCCAAACTATTTTATATATTAACAGACTATTATATATTTATTTCAATATCATATTTACAAAAAAAAGTATATTAATAAAAAAACTAATTGTTAATATTGTTATTATTATATAATATACAGTATATATTTTTCAATGTATTAATAATTTTTTTATTCATATATATATTGTTTGTTTTTTATAAAAGCTTTTTATATATTTATTAGTATTTTTATTAGCTTTGCTTTTAAGTAATAATAGTATGTATTGTGAAAATTTCGTGATTAGATATTATTAACAATTTAATAAAATCTAAAACTACTTTTTACTAAATCTGTATTTATTATTAAAAAAAATAATACTAATAGAAAATTTAGTTTAATATTACTTAATGTTATGAATAAATAATTATAAAATTATAAATGTTATTATTTGTTCATTTATATATGTAATAAATTTTTATGATTATTAATACTATTATTAATGATATATTGTTATATAAATTATTAATTATTAATTAATTTTTATCAAACATTTTTTAAAATTATGTTAAATTTATTAACTCTAATGTATGTCTAATATTTTAATGGTTAAGAATATCATTGTTTATATAAAGTTTTATTATAAGTAGAGCTGAAAACTGTAAAAGTATTGTTTAACGGTTTCGGTTCGGTTTTGTTTATTTTTTATATAATACAAGTTGTATTTACATGTATAATACAAAAATTATGTTTTTAAAACTTCAATTAAACTGAACATTTTAATTGTTATTTATTTAAATACGTATTGATTTGTAATCATGTCTTTTAATAATTATTATTTAGGTTTGGTTCAGAAAAAGTTGGTCCGATTTATATTTCTAGTCTAACATATCAACAAACTTTATATATCTACATTCATAACGCTAAGCATATATATTTACCATAGATTATATACATTCTATATTCTATATATATATATAAAACTTAAGTATAATATGTAACAAAAACTGTGTAACACTTTAAGCCCCGCCTACATAGCATTAAACACTAAACATTAAGCGCATGTATTAAAAAATATCAATTCATCAATACATTGTTATACACTGGCAGTGTAACACAGCCAACAGTATTTAAGCAATACGATGACAGCCGTATTGAATCGGTTGACTGTCCGGCACTCGACTTTAGGCCGATCTGAGGCCACACAACAGCTGGTTAGCCGTATAGTAGACCCGGAATCGTACGACCGATACGATCAACTGTTGCTTAGGTCGGCAACAGTCGATGCTATGGATGATGTGGTAAATATTGTATACAAAAAGTTTTTTTTTATTAATATTAATTTCTTTTGACTTTATTTATAAAAATTTAATTTTAAATATAAAATTTTAATAATTTCGAAATAATTGCGTCAAATAACAGATATATTGAATATATTATATGAATCTATTTAATTTTAAAATATATTTGTAATGAAAAACTAGAAAAAATTATTAAGAAAAAAAACAAACAATAATAAAGATATTTTAAAGTATTTTAATTAATTAAATTAACAAAAATAAAATAGGTCAAATTGTTTATTCATACATTATTAAATTTACTTCAAATTAAAAAAAACTAATCAAAATATAACGTTTCGTATGTTATGATGAAAAAAAATCTTAATTTAATTTAATTAATATTTATTTCATGAACACACGTGCAATACGTGAATAAATTTGAAATTTAGAAAATAAATAAATGGTGGAAGTGCAAATAAAATTGTTGATGCAAATATATATATATATATATATATAAATATATATATATGCCTATTATAGTTATCTAATAGTTAACGGGGGGGGGGGACGTCATGACACCCGACAGCGTGAGGAACTAGAATCCGAACAGACAGTACTACAAGTGAGCCGTCCCTGTCCTCAATATAGAGCACCCATTCTGGTATGATTACCAACCTTTATCTCTCTCTCTCTCACTCTCTGTCTGTCTGTTTGTCTGTCTCTCTCTGTCTCTCTCTGTCTCTCTATCTCTCTATCTCTCTATCTCTCTATCTCTCTATCTCTCTATCTCTCTATCTCTCTATCTCTCTATCTCTCTATCTCTCTATCTCTCTATCTCTCTATCTCTCTATCTCTCTATCTCTCTATCTCTCTATCTCTCTATCTCTCTATCTCTCTATCTCTCTATCTCTCTATCTCTCTATCTCTCTATCTCTCTATCTCTCTATCTCTCTATCTCTCTATCTCTCTATCTCTCTATCTCTCTATCTCTCTATCTCTCTATCTCTCTATCTCTCTATCTCTCTATCTCTCTATCTCTCTATCTCTCTATCTCTCTATCTCTCTATCTCTCTATCTCTCTATCTCTCTATCTCTGTCTTACATTAATTACAATTGAAATGTTATATTACTTTTAAAAAAACAATATTATTACTTTTTTATGTGTTTTCTGATTGACTATATTAAGCAAACAGACTGTCGGTGAAATAAATATTAATAAATTAATTAAATTAAATATTAATAAAGATTAAAAAAAATTATATACATATTTAAAAAAAACAAGAAACATCTGTTATTTGACGCAATTATTTCGAAATTATTAAAATTTATAGTTTTTTTTGGTATTAAATTACATTTTATTATTTCCTGTGTTAAGTAATAATATTATGTTTTTTTTAAAAAAAGTAATATAACATTTCAATTGTAATTAATGTAAGACAGAGAGACAGACAGACAGACAGACAGACAGAGAGAGAGAGAGAGAGAGAGAGAGAGAGAGAGAGAGAGAGAGAGAGAGAGATAGATAGAGAGCGAGAGAGAGAGAGAGAGAGAGAGAGCGAGAGAGAGAGAGCGAGAGAGAGAGAGAGAGAGAGAGAGAGAGAGAGAGAGAGAGAGAGAGAGAGAGAGAAAGATGATAATATAACAATAAATATTGCCTTTTTTGACTGTCCATACGATATTGATGATAACCTATTGGTATTGAATTACTATGAAGATACCTGTACCAAACAGGATCCACGGGTACCGTACCATAATCTACCCATTCCTCATATTACAACACCAATTAGTCGGCTATTTTGATGTAATACACTATAACTGGACATATGATTAGCTAAATAATAATAAAAAAACAAAAAAAACATGATTTTAGCTATAATTTCGATGAAATTGTTGTTTTTCATATATAAAGTAAATTTTTGTTTATAATATGATATTATATATTTAAAAAAAATATTAACTTTAAAAAGTTATATTATATTGCTATTTATAACTAAAATAAACTAAAACTCAATTATTTAAAGAATATTAAACGTTTCCTTAATTTTATGTTTAATATTATGTATCTTTTAATTTCATAAAATCATAGCACCTGAAAGTTATTATTTAATTTCAGTGATATATTGTATTAGTATTATAAAAAAAACTATAATAATTACTTTTGAATCAATACTAATAACCTGAAAGATCCAGAAGCCATGCTTAATATATTGTTGTTATTATTGGGTTAAACAAAATATGATAATTATACATAAATTAATATTATTAATTATTATTAATATAATAATATTTTAAACACTACTATAAATTAGTTAAACAGATTATATAAAAATATTATATAAATTATATTTTTATTGATTGATATGTACATACAGTATATATACAGTATATTTTTAAATATATTTATTATGATTTTATTTATTTTTATTTAAAAAAAATTGATGGCTAAAAATCATATGCATTGTAAAATATGCATGGTACATTTTTTGTTGTTGGCTATGATTTATCAATGATATTACCAATAATGATGATAATCAAATTGGACACTGGTCAGCTACTAAATTAAAATTGATTAAAATAATATTGTTTGATAATAATTTTAAGAGATATTGTTGATTGCTATAGTAGTTTTTATTTATTTATACAAACATGATAATAATTTTTAAATATATATATAATTAAATAAATTAAAAAAAATATATTAACTCATTTGGATAATTAAAACAAAAATTTTATATTTTTTTGAAAATATATTTAGATAAAATCATAAAATTATCTAGGACATAGATGATGGGATCCCTGCCAATAGCCCATACATATCCAGCAAAATTCATATTTACATTGAATGCATTTCATATGATTGCAGCCATCATTTTTCTGTAGACAATAAAATTTAAATTTAAAATAATAAATAAAAATATAAATTAAATACTAAATTTAAAATAAATTGACATTCAAGTACACTATGAACTGTTGTTTAAAAAAATTTAAAATTAATTTTATTAAATCATTTTTTGTTGTTGTTGTTTTCTAGTATAAATAATACATTTATGCAGTTTTATATTATGTATTATTTTTAAAAAAATATCGGCATATTATAATTATACAAAAAATAAAACTATACAAATATATATCAATTAATGATTATATATATATATATATATACAAACACATACACATTTATATATATAGGGGTATAAATAATTGTTTTATAATTATATATATATATAAATAACATCAGCAACTATAATGTCTATTACTTAGACAATTGATACAAAATTCATAGCCACACTTTTGGCACCTAATATGATTGCACCCACCATTTTTCTAAGTAAACACATACAGATATTATGTAATCACCAAATATGATATATCAGTAAACAAAAGTAACAAATATAAGAAAGAGAGAGAGAGAGAGAGAGAGAGAGAGAGAGAGAGATGGTATGCATACCTGAATGGGTGCTCTACATTGAGGACAGGGACGGCTCACTTGGCGGACAGTCTGTTCTGAGTCCCGTTCCTCACGCTGTCGGGCTTCCTGGCGCTCCCGTTGTTGCCGCTCTCGTTCAGCTGCCTGTGCGGCAATAATCTCCTGTTCCCTGAGCTCAGCCTCTTTCCTTAATTTCTCGGCATCGGCTCTACGCTTCTCCTCAGCAGCCCTTTCCTCGTCGGCTTTTCTCTGCTCTTCGATCATCGCTTCCTGTTCTCTGATAGCCTTCTGTTCTTCTTTGATCCGATCCATCCATTCTTTGTCCTCCCGTTCCGCTTCGGCTATGGCTCTGCTGAGCGCCTCTTCCTCTGAATACATTTCCTCGGCCAACAGTTCACTCCTATACATCTGTACCATTTCCTCCCGTTCCCCTGTTTCCAGTTGACAGTCATAGCCGCCATGATATGGTTTCAAACAACTGGTACAAAATGCCAGTCCACATCGGGCACAGTTACCAATGGCCAGATCAATTTCGGTCACTACCATTGCACCGCACTCAGTGTTGGGACAATAATGCTATAGATATTTAAGTTGATATTTATATTTAGTATAAATTTATAATCAAATAAACTGATATTTGATAAAAAAATTTGTAAAGTATTTACCACATCATCCATAGCACCGACAGCTACCTTAAGTAATAGTTGATCGTATCGGTCGTACAACTCCTGTCCCACAATACGCCTAACCAGTTGTTGTGTGGCCTCAGCGGTACAGTCAGGTGCCGGACAGGCAAGCGATTCAATACGGTTGTCATCGATGGCAACGGTCATCGTATTACGTATACAATCCTCACAGTACCGATGCTCACACCCGTAGCTAACGGCACTGTCAACTGGGAAATCATCGGCACATATCTCGCACTCAAATTTGGTTAAATCATTGACACTATTACTATCATTATCGTCACTATCATCGCTATTATCGATAACTATATACAGTATTTTTTAATATTTAATAAAAAAGTTTTATAATAATTTATAATAGTATAATAGTATTTTTTTATATAAATAATTATAATAATAAACAATTTAATTTACTATTAGTTCGTACTGTATTATCATTAGCATGCTTATTTAATAATTCTATGGCTAATTAGTAATTCATCTATTTTTTATTATTGTAAAATTTAGTTAAATTAAAACTTACTAATTAAAAAAATAAATAAAAAAATTTTAATAAATTATATTATATATATTTTAAACCAGTATTTAAATAGATAATATATATATATATACAATCATACCATCATGGTGATTTACTTGTTTTTGTTGGTCC